ATTTCTCACCAAAATCACTTCTTTTCCTCTTATATCTCTCTGTTCTCTCCCTTTCCTTCTTAGAGAAAACCCTCAATACTTCTGGATCTCTGCTAAATCAGAGCTCTAACATCCATTCTTCTCAAATCTAAAAAGAATTCTAGTTTTTAGGGAGATTCACCAATTAAAGCGAGAAGTTTCTCTTAGAGCTCACAAAGAATTTAGTGTTTGGACTCATTTCCAGGTAAGAGGAGTATTCTCGAACCTTAGTCGTATTTCTATATGTAATAACCTCATAAGAATCTAAGTAACCTATTTCAGTAATAATTTATGAGATTTTTATGAAAACATATGGTAAAAGTATATTTTGGGTATAAAGAAAAGTATTGGAATTGTTTTGGAAATATATGAGTTAAGTGATGAAAGATAAAGAATACTGAACTCTAGGTTAGAAGACCTTATTGGAACTGAGAAAATATGACAACTAGTTATGTAACACCTTAAATTAATTTCTAAGTAATAATTTTGCAAAATGGGAGTGATAAAATTTTTATTTAAATAAAAGATCTCATCACAAAGTTTCGTAAAACAGTTCAAAACAATAAAGGATTATAAGTTTATATCAAAGACTGCTACAGGACTAATTCAGTTACATCATAATTTCAAAAATATAATTTAAGTCCTATAGCAGTTCATCCTTCCTTCACTGAGTCCGGTGCTGATCGTCTTGGTCACCTGAAAATTAAATATAAGGGTGAGTACTCTACACTATCCAACACACATAAACATAGAAACTCACCTCACATACTACACATTTACTAACATATTTTAAATCATGCATCCACAAGACAAGTATCTCAATCTCAGTCACAATCATCATTGATCATCTATTCTAATTCAAAATCACAGTTTCACACCATGAATGGTCTCTGGTTACCCCCGCCTCGTGAATACCGTGTGGGCAGTCACGAGTCACTCAGCAAAGGTGTTGGTCAGACGTCTAGTCAGAAGGAGAGTGTGTGGCCTGTGGTGCACCCACGCTCACTGTTGGTGTCACCACCACTCTCTCTTCCCCAAGGTATTTCTACCGTCCTCATCTTCCACACCTCCAGTGTATCACTGAACCATCCATAGCATATCATATATGGCATACTTGCCCACATTTATTCACATTACACGGCACATAGGCCCACATTCATTCACCATACTCAGCACGTATGCCATTATTCCCTCACACAACATATTAACATGTCATCCATTTCTAACCATTTACATTATTCAATCATCAATCCTCAACATGCTCACACACATTCTCAATCAAGGATATGTCAATCCCACAATCAATTTACACTTCACTCTAAACACACAATAATTTTCATCACATCACACATTTCCTACTCTCTATCTCAGTCACATTGCAACATTTAACGAAATAAACGGTAAATTAAACATGATGAGATAGGGTAGAGTCCCCCTTTACCTCAAATGAAGACCCACACACCAAATCAACAAGGTAGGCGCTCCCCCACACGAACTTTGACCTAAATACATGGAAGAACCCCATGAGAACCCAAGAAAATCGAGAAATCAGAGGATGGAGATGAGAAACTGAAACCTTAACCATTAAAATCCACCTACAAGCATTCCCTACACAAATCCAACCTTCAATCTTGCTCCCAAACGGATTGAAGGCAATTTAATCTGTGAAATAGGGTTTGGGAGTGAGAGAATCGAAGAAATCTCAAAGGAAAGATAAGAAATGAAACTTCCCCAAACCCTAACCCCTTTAAATCCTCTTCTGGTCACAAAAACGGTACTATCACGTAACGATCAAATTTTGACAGTAAGTTATGTAAGGTAAAATCCCATCTTTGGACTAAAGATCACCCACATGAATAAACAACTTTATAACTATCACAAATTTACCATCACAAGCATAAGATTATTCGATCAAATTGTGTCTCACCTTTGTGTGGAAACACAACCCATATGAATAACCTCATGCTAACATCCATGTAATTTTTAAATAAATCAATTTTTATAACAATGACTGCTTTAGCAATATATTATATCAACTAATTTAATTAAAAAATTACTAGACAAATAACAATTAAAAAAAGGGAGGATCTATAATCTGCTAAATGAAATTTTACTCATTCAACAAGAACGTCTTGATAGGTATAAATTACATATGTACATGTTATATCATTTTATGCAACAATTATATATATACATATGTATGTATTTTACAGCAAATTATATGATTCCAAAGAATGCCAAGCATTATTAAAAAAAAATATTAATATAATCATGCAGCACATGTTATCATATATGTACAAATTATGCATAAGCATTTAGACATATACATATTATTATGCATTTGAACTTCAAACCCCAAAATTAGATGAACCCATAAAATAAACTAAAACCAAATTGATTCTAGAAAACAGAAATCAATCAATCTTAAAATTCAATAATCTAATAGTAATGGGACTCTGACACCACTTGTTAGAAATTTCCCTTTTGAACCATAAGGGAATTCAAATAAAACTCAAGAACCATTACGTCCGATTATCGAATAGAGATAGGAGGTTATGGGAATACCTAGATCCATCGACGTTAACCCGAAAGTTGCAGCGGAATAACCCTTTAGTGTAATGATGTTCGAGATTGCAACGAAATAGCCTTTTGGTGCAATGATCTTCCTCAATCAAAATTACCAAATTGACAAGACTCCATTTAAAAATAACTTAAACATGTTGTCTTAATTATAAATTATTACTTTACTTATAGGTTATTCATTTGTTTAGCACATTTGTTTCAAAATCAATTAACGATAATTCCTATGTTTATATGCTTGATTAATATAAAGTTATTAACACAAGATGGGAGAAAAAAGTGAGAAGAGAGAGGTCATGAAATGAACAATTTAAAACACAAATTTTCATTTACAAATTTTATGAATGAGTTAAAAAAAACAATTACAGTAGTTTGCATTTAAAATAACAATTTGGAAAGATATAAACCATAAGTTACTCGTCGAAAGTGGAGTAAATTATGGTAAGCAAATTGAAGCGAAAGTTCAATCCCTTATGTTCTCAACACTGTGATTTTTCAACTTTGTTTTCTCCTGCACGAGTTACATGATATTTTGAAGGTAATAAAATAATGATCTTAAAAAAGTACAAAAAAATATAAATATAGTAAGTTCAACTTTATTATTCTGAAATAATATCAATACCATTATAACGTTATTTTAATGTATAGATATACTTAATATTAAAATTGTTCATTTATTATTTACAGAAAGGAAAGTTCTTCAAACAATATAAGAAACATGAATTTGAGCATGATTATGATGCACTTGGTGAGATATTCAATTCTAGTAAGAAATTATATCAAATTTTTACATAATTTAAAATGTTACATACTACATCATCCACTTGCTACTTTTCATATTTTGATTATTTTTTATATGTATATTTTTTATTTTTAAAATATTAAAAAATATTATTCTATATATTATACTAATTTTATAAATTTTATAAATTTATTTATATAAATTAATTTAAAAATCCATATTTATACTTATTTTTTTATTATTACACTTGTGGTGGTTATTTAAAATTTTATATATTTATATTTTGATAATAATTTTTAGAACGTAAGAATATATGCACGTATTACCAGAATTCTTATAATTAAATAGGAAAAAATTAAGAGTATACACTTTTAAAAAAATTTAAACCTATTTTTATTATAATTAATTAATATATATAAAATTAATAAATTTATATTAAAAAAACACTTATGCATTACATAAAATTTAAATTATAATTATAGTTATATTATATTTTTATTATTTTTAAGTCTTAAGATGCAATGATAATAATATTTAAACTATTTTAAACAAAAAACATTTTCAATATTTTTTGTTTTTTAAAACAGAAAATAAAAAGTCAAACCAAACGTATTTTAATTTTAAAAATTTAAAAATATTTGAAAATAAAAAATAAAAATAGAAAATATTTCCTAAAACTAAATAGGCCTTAATATACTCTATTAAATGTTTTTAATTATTTAAAAAAGAGAATTAATCATTTTGTGCTGTAGTTTAAAGAAATGTTAGGTATGCATTTATATTCTCTTTACGTTTATTTATCACAGGGTTGACATGGAGCTGCAGTAATATGTTATAAAATCTTGGTAAAGACACGGGTTAATAAATTGAAAATAGAAATTATTTCCATTATTATCTGTGGATCCATTTATCAAAATATTGTTTCATCATTCAAAAGATACGAATATTCATAAAAAAAAGTATTTAACAATTATAAATAAAGAGTTGTGATTGGTAAGTTTTGATTGAAAGTTAATATTAAGAAAAGAAAGAAAAATATTTCTTTAATAATAATTCCTATTTTAAAAATTTTTAAATATAAGAATTTTATAAAATTTTAAAAACTTTATAAATTCATATTTTTTATTTTTTAAAATTAATTTTTCTTTTCATTCTCATTTTTCTGTCCCTTCCGTTTTCTTTCTTCTTTTTTTTCTTAATCTTTCAGCTTTCATTTTAAACTCAAATAAAGTTTAAGATAAATGCATTTTTTAATAGAAAATTAAGAACTAAACAATTTTAAAAATCAAAGAACTATTTTTTAAAAATTATTTTTCTTGAATTCAAGCACGTTCTTGCTTTAATTTTATATTTATTTATTAATAATTTAACATAAAAGTCTTCAAAGTTTGTCATTTCTTTGATAAAAATTTTATATTAAATATACAATTGAGTGTTTTTCTACAACATAAAAGATTAAGGTGCAGACACCTTTGATTATGGATTCAAGGAACTGCTCGCATCGCAAGCTTTTCATTAAAACATCGCAAACCATGAGGGGAAAATGGGGGAAGCTGAATGATCTTATACTCTGCAGAAGACACCGGATATGCAACCAAAAATTCTGCTGTTACATAAAACAAACACACTTCGTGCATATGTACTTCAGCAGTTCTGTTTACACCTTTTCCTTTTTACATTCGTTTTCCCACCCGTTGGTCTCCCCCTATTTATACGGTTTGCAGGGTAAAGTAAAAGAAAAGAGATACTAACAATATACCTTTTTTAACAGTTTTACATGCAAGTAAACTGATGAAAGAATTGCACCCTCGATCATGGATATATTAGTTCAATGAGATAGATCCCTGGAAATTCTACAGCAGTCAAAAACAAAAACATGTTACAACGTTTGTACTTGTACAGCACTCGAATATAGCTCATAAAAGAATTTAAAGAAAAAATTGCAGAAGACCTTTATTTAAAGAGTCAAGATGTAAAAGCAAAAAGCCTATCTGCAATGTTTGTGCGGCATATTGGACATTCAGAGCAAGCAAGTGAACAAGATTTACACACTGCAAAGGCAAACACGAGGTTTGAGATTCAGACTAAAAGATTTGTAAATCCTAAGGAAACTGCCAAAAATTGAGAAGAGCAAATATCCAGACCAGATAGGAAAAGACTTACAACAAAAATGACGACATGGAAGAAGAATTGCTGCAGTTGAAGATTCAAAACATACTTTACAAACATGGGAATTGGCATCTCCGTTCCCAAGGTGCCTGACTTCTTTTTCCTTCATCTCTTGCATGCGTGCCTGAAAGCATGAACTACAGATCAAAAAATGTACCTTTGGAGCTTTTTTGTTGCTTCACAAGTTACAAGACTGTACAGCAAATGGGGTGCTTTCTCAGATCGACTCACCCAACAAATTTCAAGATATTTATCATGCAAAGTAAGAGTAGCACAGTCCAAACAATTGCATAGACTGCACACTGACATAGAATTTCGGTTCCTTCTTGGTACCAAAATCTTGTAGCAAACGACAGAAACGGTAAAATAGCAGGACATAACCAAGGCTCCTTGAGAATGTCAAAAAAGATTGTTTCAGAGAAAAAGTAGCTTGCAATCATAAAATTAAAGACTAGCCGTTTTAAGAACATGAATTGCACGACAAACTGAGAGAGCAGTCTGAAGTTCATCATATGCGAGGCCCAGGAGTTTATCCTACAAAAGATGTGGAGGGGGGGCTTTGGACTTCCAAATGAGTCTATCGAGGAAGAATTTATGGCTATTTGAAGAGTGACACTATTTAATACTCAGGATCTAACCAAATAATAAGTTCAAAATTTCCATGATAAAAAACATACAAATAAATGTAGAATGGTTGTTACCTTAAGACGAACAACCAAAGGCTCTGCCTGGGGAATTTCATTGTCTGTTTTTGATACATCTGTTAAAATATGCTCCTTGGGGAGAATACTACTTTCAATGTCATTAGGTTTCAGATCATTTGTATGTGCTTCTACATCAACATTTTTTTCGTCAATGTTTGATTCTGGGATAGCACCTCCTTCTTTCTTTAACTTAGCAACAAGAACCCACATATTTGCTAAATCATTCTCCAAGGAGGCTTCTTTTTTCTTGCCCTCCTCAAACTTTTTCCTGTACTCCTCTTCCACAAATTCCTTTTCAGCTAATGCAGCCTCAAGTGCTGCCTCTCGCTGTTTCCGAGCCTGCAGCTCCATCTTCAAATCATTAGCATCAAGATTCCACGACTCAAACTCATCCATACCAACTCCCAAAGGTTCATTAGCACGGATAGAAATTCTCCCCTTCCTCCCAGGTCTTGCATCATTATACTTGCGGCTAACTCCTTTGACTGTTTGTACAACAGCATTTCGAGTGTTGGCCAGGTCTCGAGCAGCCATCAATTCTTTCTCCAACTTTGCATTCTGCAAGGAAAGTTTTGTCACTTCCCCTGCCAAATTCTTCAATTCCACAGCAGCCGCAGAGGCCAATTCTTTGGCATAAGAAGCTTCTTCAGAGAGTTTCTGATTCTGCACATGTAAACCGCTATTCTCTTCTGACAAGTGAACTTGCTCTAGCTTCAGTTTTTCATTTTCAATCTCCTGCGAACAAAGGAAAAAGTCAGTTGCGCAGTTCAATCGAATCAGAACTGTAAATTGGACAATAATAACTATTGTTTACGCTACTATTTACAAATATTTAGTTGCATAATCCTTAAAAATGATTTTAAATAGTAGTCCTAACTTGATTTTATCAATAAAAACAACAGACAGAAGGCGGAGTACATATACTGACAAGCAAGGTAACATTAACAAAGAAAAGAAACAAACCAAACCCAAATGAAAGAGAATTCAGAAAGAACATAATACTTTTCAATCGTTCAATTCAAAAGCAAAATATTTGCAGTTACCTGGGATTGTATTTTCCTTTTCAACTCATCTATGTTTTCTCCAGATGGACATTGATCTACTAGCACTAACGAGGTACCAACTGTAACTGTTGCCAGGTGCTGCTCTAGCAGCTTCACCTTTTCTTGCAGTTCTCTGTTTTCAGAACACTATCAACAAATTACAAAAAAAAAAAAAAAAGGGAGGGTGTCAACAAATACAATTTCATAATTAAATGTGGTTTTCGCTACATCTTCAACTTAAGGAAGAAGAAAACAGTGAAGAGATAAACACGTACCTTATTATTTAACTGTTCTTGAAGGACACGGTTGTCTGCAGATTTTAACTATAGATATATATATTTAAAAATATTAATTATTATAAGCGAATAATCAATGGAACTTGCATATTCATAAATTTATATTCCATATTAAGAATAAAAATTGTAAAATGCAATGGCAAAAACCTAGCTTGAAAAAATCAGTGTTTTGAAAACGAACTGATGAGTGATGACTCAAGATGAAACCTTAATATAGATGAAATAGTAGAATAGTACACACCTCCAGCTCAAAGGCCTTTTCATCACACTGAGCCATTAATCTTGTGATTGTCTGCCATGACAAACCAACAAACGAAAACAAAATTATAAATGAGTTTTGTTGAAGCATTCACATAAATATACAACCTTCAATTCTATAATACAGAAGAACTCCAGTTTCAAAATTCAAAATAGCCACCTGCTGCATTTCAACCACTGATGAGTTAGCTACGGAAGATTCACCACTTTCAATTATTCTTTGTTCTAAAACCCTCATTTGCTTCCTTTTTTCTTGGATATCTTGTTCCAAGTTCTCAATCTGTAATCAGAAATGCACACTTTCCATATAATCCATTTCTAACAATGAGTTAAAACAGCAACATATGGCATTTCAATTAATCATTAAAGTTACGTGCGGGATTTTTTGTAACATGGCGCACCGCTGCCCCGTAACATTTGTGCGTGTAACTGCTTGTGTTTGGAAATACATCAACTCATGTGACAACGGACATTCTTAAATTTAAATAACAATAGAAAAAATAAATATATAAGAAATAAAAGTATAATCATCGTTAAATAATAGTAAAATTATGCGTCGTGCAAAGACTTCAAAATTAATTTGCATTATTTTATTAGATAAGATTTTTTTAAGTAAAAAATTATAGAAATTATTTTTTTAATCAAGATATACAAAATCCATGTGTAGTGTCCTGAAATTCAATAATTACAATTCAATTCAAATAACTTATTTCTATATATTTTTTACTTCAAAATTTTAGTATTAACTAGATTTAAGCAATAATATTTAACTGAAATAAAATAGAATGACATATTTAACGTAAGAAAATTTATGTGGCCTAATTAAAAGATGAAGATGATAGTTCATAAAACCTTTGGATTTAAGAGGAGTGATTGAATCCAACAAATTGCAAGTGTTACAAATTAAAAATGAATTAAAAAAAAACTAGAATACCATTATAGTAAAATACAAATTAATTTATGTATCTATAAAATATTTAGATAAGTAAAACATCGTTTCATTAACAAGCGCCTTTATTCAATCAAACTTTTCTTTTCTCGGGTAAATTTGATTTTTTTTACAAATGAAATTTTTGTATTTTTTAAAAAATTAAATTAAGATTAATTTCTTTGGTACATAATAATAATAATAATAATAATAATAATAATAATAATTAATAGTAATAAGCCAAAATAGAAATACTGAATTATCTTCACTTTTGACTCTCATTTTGTAAGTTGTATTTTCACTAATATTGGCAAAGGCCCAAAATTACATTTAATATTTTTGTAATGAGATATTTTTTTTCTCAGGTTTAATTCATGTAATATATTTATTCAATATAACATGTACTTATAACATATGTTGTTAAAAAAATTATCAAACAAATTATGTTGTCACATTTCTAAATACTTTATTGTGCAAAGGAAAAGAAAGCGTACTTATTTTTGCTTTTTATCATTACCTTCAGTATTATATATATGATATAAAATACGCATGTTCAAAGGACTACGACAACCACCAAAACTCATTAGATGAGGATATTAAAAAACTTAAAATGAAGATAAAGTTGAAAAGTAAAAAAGAAAGTTAAAAAAGTAAATATGAATAAGCAGGAGTGCCAGTAGGCTTATCTTATTCTTATCCATAGATAAAGCTGCTATGTGAAAAGTATATATGGATGCAATGTGCATGTCATTTGATTACGTCGCCAATTTTAGCATACCCGCTTGTCATTCTAAATTTCTAATTGCTTTTATATGGAAAAATCATAAGTATGCTAAATTAGTAAACTCCTAAAGTAACTTCCAATATTGTATAAACTGGGTATTTTATTCTATAACATTTTAAAAACTTTTTAATAATTTTAATTTCATAAAGAATAATTTCTTTCAATTTATTTATTTTTTATTTTATTAAAGTATGCAACAAATATTTTTTTAAATCAAGCACTAAAATGTCCGGTTCATAAAAAGTTATTAATTTTCATTTTTTATTTTACTTTTTACTGGCATTTAAAAAATGATATTTTATAAAATTAGGGACAAATATTTCTTTTTAAATTTAACACTAAAACATCTGATTCATACAATTTAAATGACGAATTTAAAGATTTCCTCTGATAAATACTTTATTAGCCCTTCTCACCTACCAATACGTTTGAGAGCATCACAGTTCAAAAACAAGGCAAGAATACCTGTGTTTTGGAGCTTTCAGGATCATTTACAGACTGCTCCATTAAGCGTTTCAGAGTGCTGGTACTGAAAGCAATGTCTCCAGCTAGCATTTTGACTTGCTCGACTAGAAGATCCATCTCATCAGACATTGCCATCCCTCCCTATAATTCAATAAGCAGCCAAAAAAAGAATTTTATGAAGGGACAAAGAAACAAACCACAGAAAACAAAAATAGATACAAAAAGCAGCACGAAACCCACATTATTTTTAAACGGTTTTTTTTTAAAAATAATATATATATATATATATATTCAACAACGTGCATTTTAATATAAATTGACATTGTAAAATTCGAACACATTAAAATCGTTTTTTCAAAACATTCTAACAAAGGAGATTATATCATTATTTAATATAAATAATTTGTTTAGCAGTCAGAAAATAAAAGAAAACAGTTACACATAAATAATAAAAACAGATGAAATCATGCACAAGTCACAAGGGTAGCCCATGTGTACACGTCAGCTGAGTATGAGCCAAGTGTCAACTTAAAATGAATTGGACAATATATTCCTTAGCTAGCTTTTTGAATTAAGTTAGGTTAATCCTCAATTCTAATACGCTTTTTATCTGCATTAATTTTTCCTGAACTGTCACGCATTTCCCAAAGCTAAGGCATTTAATGGGGGGCATATTACGGAGTGAGATTAACAAACAAGTATTGACGAGGGGAAGGGGAAACATGAATCTACCGCTGGTTTCCTTGTTCTGCTGATGAGTTCACCAGCTTGCGTCGATTCAGCGATGATACTGCTAGTTGGAGAGAGTTCTTCGTTTGGTCTACTTGACGATCTTCTATGTCTAACATCATGAGACGGATCAGATGACACAGTGGAAACATCTTTTTGACTCTCATTTTCGATCAAAAGAGATGCTTCACGTAGGGCATCAAATTTCTGGAAAAGGAAAAAAAGAATAAGCTAGGTTTACCTACTCTTTACATGTTCAATAAAAATACAGTCATGCAATGCAAGGTTCAGATGTAAAGAAAATAACTTTCTGAAAAATTAAATATTTGAATACATGTAGTTAAGTAGAACACAAGAATCAACACAACCTAAAAGAATAAGCAGCAGAGGCCTAAGAATGGTTTATAGTTTATACCCCCTCACGAGAACGCCATCTGGACTTGAAATGTAGACAACGCTTGGGGTTGATGTATATTGTGTTGAAATTTAATTTAATTGTGAAGAAAGAAGCAACAAGGATGAAATACTTGACCACTTTATTAAAAAAGCATTGTGATATACTTTTAAAACCAAATATCAACCTAAAATAATGACCTACTCGGGAGTATAAGAGGCTCATGAATGATTGTATATATCTAACATAAAGTGCGAAAAGCAAAGACCTACTATTAATGAACAAATTCACTGACAGAAGAAATAAACTCACTACCTAGCAGTCAACAGCTAAAATTTGTCAGCTATGGAGATTTAGAATATGAAAAGAAACTCAATCTGCAAATAATATTGCAGCAGATCATTATACAGAGTTTCAAAGTACGTGCACTTTTGGAAGAATATTAAAAAGAATGGTAAAACACACTTATACACCAATTAAAGGAGGAACTCACATCATCCTCGCCAACGGAGTGACTTCGATGGTGGCTGGGAGCATCAGATAGATATCCCGGAATTGCATTCTTTGATGAAACCAGAATGAGCTTGGTTAGCCTCTGTATCCGACTCATAAGAGCAACCTTCGCTTCTTCCTCTTCTTCCAATCTTGACTGCATTTTCACTTGACCTTCTTCCAACTACTCGTATATCAGTATAGAATAAGAAGCAAAACTCGTTATTCAATCACCACAAAACCACCGTAATAAAAGAAAAATATGAAAACAACTCGGGGAGCTAAAAACCTTTTGCTTTAAGCTCATAATTTCCTCGTGGTTGACACCAAGTTGAAGCCCTTTCTTCAGCTGATCAAGTTCGTGTTTGAGGACTGAAATTTCTCTCTGGTATTTCTTAATTAGAGATTTTTCATCAATAATCTGCTTTAACAAATAATTCAAGAATGAATCAGAAAACTCCTCACGCACATTCTAATAGTCATGCAGTTCTTTTTTATGAATAAGTGGCTAATAAATTGATTTTGAGTGGACCTTATTACGTGAGGCGTATATTTCTACTCTCTTGGCCCTGCTAGCAAACTTCAAGGTATTGTGAGTTTCTTCCAAATTACTGGATGCCGGAGTTACAGTGCAGATTAGCTGAAATTTCCATGTTAAAGCCAACCTTAATATCGTGCAATGGTGCTCATGCAGACATTTTAACGTACTTTGTTCTAAAACACCCATGAAAGAGAAGAAAGCGAAAGGAAAGAACTTAAAAAGCCATAGCCCTATATTTAAGGGAACTATTGCAACAAATCAGGGTTCAAATCGTAAATTTCCATGCTAATTTTTGAATGGTAAATCGCATCAAATTGTAAAATTCAAAAATACAAGGAAGAATGCTTGAAATATATCATATAAATGAATAAAATGATATATAATGCTTAATGTAATAATTTTTAACCACAAAATGAAAAAACAACTTACTCATAACCATAAGTCTAACAAAATAAATCATGTCACAATTAAGTCTGTGAAGCCTTTTATTTCAGAACATTGAAAAGAGCAATGGAATGGCCAAATATAATGCATACAATAGAATGAGTAAGTGATGGTGTGAAATGTTTCGACACAATGAAAACAGAAAATCAAACTGATTAAATAGGGTGTATTTAGCAGTGTTTCTTTTCATTTAACAAATTTAAACTTTGACTTCTCTATTGCTTTGATCAGAAATGGTGAAAAAGTATAAAATAAGGAATCGTTGAATCACGAGAACTGTATCGATGATGTAGACTCACACCAACCCATCCATACATGGCAAGATTTAAAGTCATTTGCAACTCATCACATAATACGAACCAAGAATGGGTACGATTTTAATAACTTGGGCCTATTGAAATAGAATGATGACTCAACAATTATACTAAACTAAAGGCACAACAAATACAGTTACAGAATTTGATAGATAAAAGTGCAGTAGAATCAAAACTCACTGAAACATGGCCATGCCCACTAAGTGAAGACTGCAGGAGGCGGGTAAGCTTTGAGTCTCGATATGGAACATGAGATGCTTTTCCCTCGCTCAATTTTCCAATAACCTTTAAATTAAAACCATAAAATCAAGACTGCAGAAGGCAGGTTTTATAATATTTTGCAAAGATGTAAATTGCAAATTATCTAACTGGTGATCTCAGGTCATAGTAGAACTTCATAGCCAAAAAATATGAGAAATGTACGACACCTACAGTTCCAAGTGTCAGAAGACTTTTGTTTATGTAAGATCCTTCTTTTCTTCTTAATCCAGTTGTTTCAGTTTTCGAGCTCTCAGATCCAGCAAGATCGATCAAATTCTAATAGAAGGAAACAAGCCAAAAGAATAAAAATGAGAAGAGACAACCAATGAAGTGCATGTGTTGTCTTAAAAGTTTTTAATAATGTTCACATACAAGCTGAGAGAAGACCACTCCATCATAATCTTCACCATGGGCACTGCTTTCAATCATCTGCGGATAGCAATAACAATACAGGTCAGGAGTGAAAAAAAAGGCCCAACGAAGTCCAGGAACAAAACCACATATGTCAATATGTTACTTAGCAAAATTAAACATTTAACCAGCATATAGGAGAAGTAGTAAAACATCTAAGCAGAATGTACGCATGCAACTTAGCCATTCAAAAACCTACGGCCAGGCTGTGATGTAGATTATTTCCTTTGACAATTGGATCCAGTGTAGAAAAAGGTTGCTTTGAGCCTTTGACAATAAATTTTAATACCACAATTTCAAGAATGCTTACTAGTGTAAAAATTGTGTGACTTCGGCTGCTAAAGAGGTTAAAATTGTTTGATCCAACATGACGATGTTCTGCCATCAAACAACTTCCTTATTAATAAAGCTTCTGAACCAAGTAACCAACAATTAACCATGAGAGTTATAATAATAAAAATAATTGGAGTTAAATATAAATATTGTCAATTTATACCTTCTCCAGCAGCAATAAAGGAAAGAGCATGTCCGGGAGACAAAACAACTTCTTCCTTTATACCCTCCACATAAGTTCCCTGAAATACAGGCCAACATAAATCGTTGGTTATATGATCTCAAACTAGTATTGAGCAAACAATGAAATTGTTTGAAGAGTTTAAAATAGACAATATTTGTCTAGATTCTACTCCAACAACAAATGTTGTCTTTGATTTTTCTTAAAGGAAAAATTAACATAGAAATGAAACTTTTATTTATAAAGAAAATATTAACCTCAGAGCAACTAATAATAGAAAAAAATATTAAAAAAATTTATTTATTATACTTTTATACTTTAATGCAATGAATGTGTCCTTTTCCAATAAAAAATCTACTACTTTTGGATGCTTAAACACAGTCTTAAGATGTGGTTAATAAAATTCCATTTACAAACAGAAGACAATTTAAATTGATGAAAATAAATAAATAAACCTTCAAACAATGAATCCCCTCATTCCATCAATGTTCACACTTCACACTCTAAAACAGGTTTTTAGTTAGTTCTTAGATACATGCCATGCCATGCCACATTTCAAAGACAATTAGAAATATCAATTTCATGTATCAAAAGACAACTGAGAATAGAGTAACAAAGAAACGTGCAAAGAATTAACTCAGATATATAAATAAGATTCCAATTTCAAAAAACATTAACCTGTGCATCTTCTCTAACACGTAAATTTTGGCTAGTCGGGTCAAGCAAGTCATTTATTACCTGATACGAAGTAGAAACAGGGAAAACATCTATTAAAACAAAAAAGAAAAAAAAAATCAGACAATATAAAAAGTAAAGTGACAATCAGTATTGCAAAGTGGCATGTACCAGGAAAATATAGTTGAGTCAAGGCAGAAAGAATTGCAGTTAATTATGAACTGAAGTACTAAACCAAGTTCAGAAGTGTGCACACAATTTGTTCTGCATTTACCTCATTGTATATTTCTAGATATGACACTCGGAGTAAGAACTCTCTTCCTGGAGTCTGCGGTGAATACAAATAGTCATTCCAAGCAAATTACAGCAATATAAATTTAATAAAAACAATAGAATATTCCATAACTATGCCAAGTAAAAGCAGAAACAAGTAATTATAAATAAAAAATGAGTATTAAGATGTCTTACCAATCAAGACATGCAGCACATGTATCCTTATAAAAATAACAAAACCGGGAATAAATTTTGACTTTTGATTGGGAGGTAATGGTATGGCACGGTATGCAAGACAAGTAGATGCCAACTGGCCACCAGTACAGTACAGCACAAAGCAAGAGAGAGTATTGATTTGATAACAAATACAAAGAGATTGTTTATTTTTCAAAGCATATATTATAACAAATAATGGGTGGTGCTGCATGTGTTTCGAAATAACTAATGTATAACAATGGCTTAACCAACATTTACTAAGTTTGCATGAAAACTCACATCTTGGATAATGCTGAAAACATCTTTTATAGCCAGTGGTATGATGCCAGGAGAATTTTGATCTCCCTGCAAATATCATTATTGAAAAGAAAATCAGGAATACCACAACTGAAGGGATCACATCAATTAAAAAAGGTATACCATGAAACAGTTTATAGGCAGAAAGTGACTTGAAAAAACAACTAATATAAGCTAAACAGTAGCAAGAACTGCAAGTTAGCCAAATGTTTGATTCCCAAATCACCCCACTAGATCTCCAATTTAACATGTGAAGTCGCAATACTTAAGTACACTATATAACCTGTACTTAAAAAATAATATGTACCAATCAATCAAATGAACCTAAAAAATGGTTGCCAGATTGATGTGATAATTGATCTACTCTCAAATCAAATGATTCAGCTCAAGTGTTGAAGTACAAGGTCCTTGTATAAAGCTAATGTATCGTACCTTTACATTAACAAAAAGACCTTTTTAACTAAAATCATACTTTTAGTTATACTTCTTTTAATTCAACCAACACTATCTATATCTCTCAAGGGCACTGCTAAATTTTAGCTTCCTGTAAGAATGATCTCAATCCAAGAAATTTTCCATTTGTTAAATGATAACAAATATAGTGCTCGATGGTAGTTCACCAGGTTGTCTATTACATGAAACAGACAAACTAACTATCTTAAGAGTTCCCCCGGAAACTTCCTTACCCCTAACCAAAGAATCATCAAACAGTAGCTGAAAAGATTTTATGCTCACATTCTTCCGGAGAATAACATAAAAAAATAATTCTTAAAAGAAAGTTGTTTTCATGTGGCGTATGTGCTGTTGTGTTAGAGAACTCATATCAGAACAAACTAGTAACTTACCAAAAAGATCTAACAATTGAAAACTGACAAATAACCTACACCACGTTATAACACTCCTGTTCAAAATATATACTGTTCAACATTATTCACTCACGACGACTTAGAAAATTATAAAATAGTATCAATAACAATAAAATATACATTTGACTAACTTATCCTCCATTAAAACACTCAAATTATCATCATTCCATTAATGGTCTCTATCATTCTTCAAAATAAACTGAACCAAATCTGTAATTACTGAAAATATCAAGGGATGAGGATAGAATTGGTAAAGAAAAGCATAATTAAATATGTTTTTGATATTCTAAAGATAAACTGAAACAAAACAAAATTCCTAAACCGCCAGATATTTTAAAATGAATGGACTAATAAATAATATCCCGTAGTAAAAGTCAATGTAATTTAATGACAAACTTTATGTTGCAATATGATAGATAAGAGGTAAAACAATAATTTGACTTTCAACCTAAAAACTCCAAAGAACAAAGATAAAAATCAATACATTAATTTTAAAAGTGACACTTACGTGCATAGTATGTGTCTTACCACTACTCGTCACACCATAGGCAAACACAGTTCCTGCAATGTTTATCATAAGTTATCTTTCAAAAACGAAGCTAACTCCACCAGGCACTTGAACACTAAACCAATAAGCAGTACATATTAACCATTGAAATCTAATTATTGACTACATACATGAGTTGAAACTAAAGCAGCTTCCATCAAAGAAACACAATGACTCGGTAGTTGGTACCAAATAAGACACCGCTTAAAAACATCACATTCCTATTGCAATATATAATTTTGAATTTAGATAGTAATATTTCATACCATTGACCCCTTCCATGGCAGCCTTCACTACAGGTTTTGCAGCTACTTCATACACCTCATCAGAATTTGTATGTGGCCCAAACACTCTATCTGCCACAAATCAAATCAAAATTCTAACGTCCATATCCATAATTTCTACACCAAAAGCAAACAATATCACCAATTTCCTAGTAGAAACCTAAGACTAACTATTCTCCACTAATTCCCCACAAAATCACGCCAAGAAGAATTAGAAATGAAAATACCAAATGCATAAGCAGTAGCTGGATTATATTCATTTCTCACAATCGTATCACCATCCGCATACCACGCGATATCATCCCCTCTCTGATACTCCCTTTCACTGCAACCAAAACCGTAACCACTCATTTATCAGATAACACAACGCTTAACAAAACTGAATGATTCAGTTCCTCTCGTTTTCACAGCGAATGGATCTGATACTATAACCGCGGATCTATGCATTACCTCAATGGTCTGAACCGAATCGTGACCGAAATGCTATCGCGAGACCTGGACGAATCCACAGGTTCCATGATCACCTCCTCCATCCCGAACTCCACCGGTGAAGGACTACCATAACCGTAGAAGGTCAACTCACTGTGACCGCGATTCGGAGTCATGGATCGGCCACTGAGTCCACCACCACCGGAGTTAAAAAACGACGACGTAGAAGAACAGGAGCGAGGCATTAACCGTCCGTTGGTGAAGGAAGAAGAAGATGAGGAAGAAGAGGAGTGTGGAGTGGAGGGTTTCCGGTGTGAAAATGGCGAGCTACTCCTTGCTCGTGAGGATGAGGCCATTCATTGACTCGCCGAGTTAGTGAGTCAAGCGAATAAACCAGCAAAATATGAAGTAAAGGGAAACAATAGAAGAAGAATAGAATGTGTCAGAACTCTCACATGGCAATAAGAAAAAAAAAGCTAAGAACATATTAGTTCTCTTTTTTCTTTTTATTTTTTCTTTGTTACTTTGACGCTTTAAGGTATGATTATCACAGAGAGAGTGTTTCGTCTTCTCTAAGACAATGAGCGTTGCAGTGGGAGAGAGAGAAAGAGAGTAGGTGGAGAAAGAGGTGAAAATGGTGAGAAAATGTGGGAGATGGTCTCAGTTTAAATTTATTTTCTTCGTTGTAATTTTGAGTTTTTTATGGGAGGGATTTAAATTTTGATTTGGATATTCCAAGTGCCCACGTGTCGGATGAAGAGATTGAGATGGGTTTTAAAACTCGTAGAAGGTTGGAAGCGCCCGCGCAATAATATAAGCGACGAATGGCTTTGAAAAAGTAAGGCTAAAATTGGGTTTGAGCGGGAGTAACACGAATCATCAACACAAGACTTAAACATTTTTACATTAACTAAGTCTGATGTGTTAAATTTAAATATTTGGTTTTTATTTAGTATAATAATTTTATAAAAAAATTAATATATATTTAATAAATAAAAATTATAAATAATATAAATATTTAAGTTTGGCACTCAATATATTAATATTATTACTCTTTTATACCATGATAATTTTTGTATGATTTTATTTTGCACATTTTAATATTTACTTCAAGTAAAAAAATATTTCAAAAAATACCGACATTAATTCATAAATTTTTACAAAATATATAAATGTGATAAGTTCTTTCTACTGAAAAAATATTCGTTAATTTTTAATATAATAAATATTTCTAATAAAAAAAAATTTAAATACTTAAAATTAATATAAAAAATAAAGAAAATAAAAGGTATGTCTTTGTTATAGCACGTAACTTATATAATTTAACTGTTTTCGTTATTTAAGCAGCACTTGGCCCAATATGGGTGTCAAAATAGGATACTTAACTTGATTTGTGTTGATCCAATTCAAGATTTCAAATTCATTTAACATGGATTAAAAAAAACTCGATTAAGGATTATTTTATCTGTGAATTACAATTAATACGCTAGTTATACTTCCAAAAAAAAACAAACACAAAAATGTTTATGAAACGACAGAATCACACTTTTAAGAAAGTTTATTATTTGCGTGGATGCGAAATTATGTGATGTCATCATATCCGGTATTACCTTATTTATATTTTAGGTCATCTTATTGTTATTTTTTAGAATTTTTAGTGAATATTTGGATAAGTTAAAAAAAACCATTACTTAATTTATTAAAAAATCATCTCATAAAACTACAAAAAATTATATTTTAAAAAATACAAATTAAATACGTACTTAATTTGTAGTTCTCTTTATTATTTTGTATTCGTTTACATTTAGAGCATATTTAAACAATACAAATAAAATTTTTACTTGTACTGTGTTTAGATAGAAAGAAGGAATTAGAGAAGGAAAAGATAAAAGAAGGTTTGGTGTTTAGATGAAAAGAGAAAAAGGAAAAAAAATTGAGTGAGATCTATATAAAAAAGAAAAAATCCCCAAAATGGAGAGAAATAGGAAGGAGAGAGGAGAGCGAGGGGTGACAGAGGGGTTTTGGTCTTTTGGATAATTTTTTTTATTGAAAATATTTATATAATAAAATTATAGAAAAACATTAGGAAATTTTCATTAAAAATATTACAATAAAAAAATAATTAATTTATAATATAATCTAATTGTTTTTACTATATTTTTATTCATTTAAACAAGAAAAAAACTTTTTTTCTTCTCTGTCTTTTATTTTAACTTGTTTAAACATTAAATCCATTTTGCTTTTCTTTTTTTCCTCTGTTGAACCTTCGTACAAGCGGAACGTAAAAGATGATTTGAAATCTTTTTGGTATTTGAAGGTGGAGTCACGGCACCGTTACCGCGGTTGCATGCGTTAATGCGCAGTGCTTCTTGTTAGACAAATTTGGCGACATGAATAGAAGACGATGAACGAATTAATATAGACGAACAAAATATAATTCAACTACCTGAGCTAACTCACTCGTGAGTTAAAAAACTTGCCCATGCATGTGATTTGCAGAGGTACACCCTTCTCTTTGTACCAGAGGTATCTCGAATCTCAGTTGTATTTTTTCTCTACGGTTCCTGATTTCCTCCAATCGCAGTTAGTAGTTTTATTTGTGGACAGTCAATCCATGAGTTTGGATGTAATTTAACATTTGTCCATTAAATCATTTTGAAAGCACTTATTCAAAACATTGAAGTTGTATGAATTTACAAAGGTGGAACAGCTTTTTCATAAACATGAAAATTAAACGAGGAAACCATAATCTTTAAAGATTAAAGCATTGTTTGCGACGTGTTTGGAAAAGATGAGTGGGCAAGATTTATATTTTAAGTAAATATATTAACATAAATTCATTGTATTGTTGTATTTATCATTACAAATGATATATAATTTTTTAATTTAAAACTAAAACATATATCTTCTTTTATTTAACACAAACATACTTTGAGGTTGTATTTGCAGCTGATTTAAAAAAAAAAAAAAAACGGAAGAATTATGTAATGTTTATTTATGTTTAAAAATTTTTAGATAAAAAAAAATATTATTTATAAACTTCTTAATATCCTATTAATTTCATATTTTTACGTTATCTCAATTTAGAGAGTTTTGTATTAAATCTCTTCTCTCTTTCATTTCAAAATATTTATTTCTCTCATTTTTCAAACTTTTAAATAAAGTTTAAATGATTAAACTAACGGTATTTAATTCTTATAAAGGCTTATTTTGATATTTATAATAAATAAATAAATATTTTTTTCTTATTTAAAAAAATAATATTAGATAATATTTTCAGATCTTAATAGAATATTAATTATTTTATTTCAATTTCATAACTAAATAAATGATAAATGTAATAGTTTTCAAGTATATTGTGAGTTAAATACTTAGCAATTAAACAAGAAAATAATTTATTGTCTTTCTTAATCTTTATAAAAAAAGTTTTACACAACGTTTTTTAAATAAAGTAATAAAATATGGCATCTATCTTTTGAGAATTAATAGTTTAGAGTATGTTTAATTTCTGATTTAAAAACAGTTTTGTATCTTTAAAAATAAATTCTAGTATAAATTTATATTAGATTTTATTTTTAAAAATAAAAAAATGTTTTTAAAACAGATATCACTCTAAATTTAAAAAGAGGTTTCCAATCTTCCAACGATTACTTTTTTTTTTATTGAGTTATTTGTCTAAAAATTTTACGAGGGTATTAAGATACAACTCGTACAAGGCATCAAATATTCTTTTTTAAAAAACTGACCACATTCGATAAATAGTTAAAAGTTTTAATTACATTAGTTAATATGAAATTTCTAATTACGTGCATAGAAAATGGATTTTATTAAAAGGCTGTGTAACTTAGAATTGAAAAAGTTAATATTAAAATTCGAAAACAGGCATTAAAACTACAATCGCTAAATATTATAACTTGAAAGGGTGTATAACTTCATCACTCAACCTAATAACTTTGGATGTTGCCATAAACTTTCAAATGGCCCTCTACAATGGCGTATAACATAGTTGACTACTAAGATAGGTTGGTCACAACCGTTAATTTAGCCAATGAATGAAGGAGGTCAACTAATATTGAGCATTTAAGACGCAAAGTTTTTTCATAACAAGAATGATAGGGATGTCTCCTAATTACAGTTCAACATAAAAGTGATTTCAAGACAAAACAAAAAAAAATGGACGAGATAAAGGTCAGTTACATGATACATCCTAGTTACATATCTACAAAGTAGAGCAGCAGATCTATAATCACTAGAAAAAATTTACGATTTATGGCGCAAAAATAGTCATTATAAAATATAACTAGAAACAAAATGTTAATAAATACATTCTCTCACATATTGTTTTTAACTAACTCTTAATTATTAACATAATTTATTAAAAATTATGTGTTATACTTGTAATTTTTTAAAAAATTATTTTTAAATAATAATTAAGAGTATGTTAAAAATATGTACTAAAAAAGTATATTTTTAAACTATGTTTAATTTCTTTTTTAAAAACGGTTTTTAATTTTTTAAAAATAAAATGTAGTATAAATTTATACTACATTTTATTTTTAAAAACTAAAAACTATTTTTACAAAGAAAATCAAACATGCTCTTAATATTTTTTGTAACAAAAATATAGAAATTCATGCATAAGTGGTATACAAATAAATTAAATTAAGGTTAATTTGCTTTGATTTTTTATTTTATTTTTGAGGAAGAAATTTTTTATGGCAATATAATATTGTCTTAAGTCAAAGTTCAAAAAATAGAGATAAAGACTTCAAAACTAAAACAAATTTTCATATTTTTATCATACTAAGAAAATGGTATAATTCAAACCATCCACTTAAATATTATCACTCGTCCACTTAACATATCCTAGTGTAGACAGGACACCTAGGGACGGTTTAGCTTTAAGAAACATTTTATGTTTTTTAGAATATGTATAGGAAATATTTTGAAAAAATTATATTTTTACTGTCTTTTCTTTTTTTACAAATCTAAGAAAATAAAAATTCCACAATTTTGTAATTAGATGTGAAAATATAACTTTTTTTTTCCAAAAACTAAACAAGCTCTATCGTCTCTCCATGCATAATTTTTATTATAAGGCCACCGTGTATTGTGTTTATTCACCTGTACTTAAAGCATTTGGTACTGCACGTTCAAAATAAAAAATAAACAAAACCATCCCTGTATATTGATATGTGTATGAGTTTTTATTTAAAAATAAATAAATAAATTTGTATGAAGTGATTGATCCAAAATTAATTTTTACGTTAATTATTGTCTGATTTTGATTAATTTCGATGGATTTAACATGTTTTTATTCTAATCTTCTGAAGTGACCAAACCTGTTATCTGACTATTTTTGGTTAAATCTGGTCTAATTCAATTTTAACAACTATGCTTGCACTTTCTTACAGTACACTGCTCTTGATGTAACATACAGTTGCAACATCTTTTCTGTACAGAGAAAATTCCTGGAAAGTTGAACTCTAATTAGAAGTTTACATTGCATTCTAATGGATTGAATCGACAAAACCGTTAATTAATTTCATTTAATAAAGCTGTATTTAAAAGTATTTTAGATCTTGTTTTTATCTATAAATACAGGAATTTAGTCAAATGAGAGAAATGTTACTATCACCGAGTATTAAATATATTAAGCTATTTTTAACCTCTTACTTAAGGTTTGAGTTTTTAGAAGTAGTAATTTTTTTATTAAAACAATATATTTATTACATTAAAATTATAAAAATGTAATAAATATTTAATATTTAATAAAAATTATTATTATATTTATTTAATTGTAATTTTTAGAACCGAGATTAATATTTTAAGTTTTTCGTCTTTATGAAATTATATAATTTATACTTAATTTTTATAAAATAATTTATTAGAATATTTTACTTACTTCTTTGTGAAGTGTTGTTTTTAATCTTTTTTTAACTAATATGTTCTAAACTTAACTCAGTAGACCACATCAGCTGTATGCACTACAAAAAATAGTTTGTAAAAAAAGTAAAATTATATCATATAAAAATATTTTACACGAATCAAGTCCATATTATAGGATTAAACACTTAATTAAGTTTATTGAGTATTTATCTTTTTGTTCATTTTCCATGGTGGTAATCGAATTCGTTAATAAGACGTTGGAGGAGATGAGTGAGACAGAAAGAGAAAACAGATGCAGAAAGATGTTGACTCTGAGTGCTGAAGAAAAATGACTGGTTTTGCTTCCAATCCAAAGGACCACGAGACCATCAATCATAGTCCACAAGACGAATCGTAAACCCAAAAAAAGAAGAGCAAAGAAAAGCGTAAGTTGTAATTGTGGGGTCATCTCAAAGGAGAAGTTAAAAAGATGGATTCCTTTCAACTAACCAACAACCGTGCATGCACCGGTAACAAAAATCTTCCACGATAAGGTAAACAAACAAACGCCAAAAATATTTTAAATGAAAAATAAATTAATATTTCTATTGTAGTCAATTCCAAGTGTGTTTGAATAGACTGTAATAGAAAAAAAAATTAAACCACAATTTGAAAAAAAGTTTATTACGTATTTTGTTTTTAATCCGAAGTTCTAATATGCTATCCGCGGTCACGATTCTTCTTTTTCACCCTTCTTATAATATTTTGTGCCAATGAAAGAAGAGTACAGGCAAAGAATACAAAGCGAATAAATTGATTTCCACTTTGGCACACTCCACCTTGAGTGGATGTTGTTGGCTTTATGGCACATGCACGAGGTAACCTTTTTTATTTCTTGTGGTCCACTTTTTGATGATACTTGTGACCGTGACGATACTGATCACTGGTGATTCACGTGCAATTAGGGACGTCTTTCAGAGCTTGGGGAGTTATGTTTCCTGGGTGTTCCAACTTTTTTTTCTTTGTTCGATCGATGGCAATATTGGGTTTTCACACTGCAGAGGCCAAAGTTCCCTTGTTTTCCTTTCTTCTGTAATCCTTTCCCAATCCCTAGCACTTTCTTGTGCAATTCAGAGCTCGTTTTTACCTCATAACTTCTTGATTCCTTTCCAATGTGCAACGTTCTATTTCACTGTGCAAAGAGCGTGTTCATTTCAGGTATTATAAATACTAAACTACTTTTTATATATTTTTCTAAAATATTGTTTTTGGTGGTATTATTATTAGAGTGTCGTTTTAAATAATATAATCAAATGTGTTAAAACAAATGCTTTTAACGATAAATTTTTCTTGAATAAGCTTAAAATAACTTATTTGAATAAGTTATTTTAAATAACTTACAAAAATTATAAAGTATTTTTTATAAGTTCTTTCAAATATATTCTAATTGCTTTTTGCTTTCTCTAAAAATACTAATACATAACTGTCTAAGTACGATGATTACACCTAGCATTACTGTAGAAAAATATTTGAGTGATTAAATACAATTAAAAATAATAATAAAGTATGTATGAACTAAATTAACTGGTTTTGGCTCAGGCGTGCAATGTGCAAGAAACTTAAGAATATTTCAGTATCACAAATTAATTACTCGATTTGAGTGATCTTATAGTAATTTTTTATAAGATACAATAATCACATATTGCTAACATTAGACGTGAAATACTAAACGGTATTTAGGGTTTTCAAAAGAACAAGAATAAAAATAAAATAAAACAAAATACTCAGAGTATGTTTGTTTGATTTTTAAAAGGAAAAAACATACCCTTAATGTTGTGATGATCTTTCCAATTTCCCCAAAACAGAAACTTGCACTTTTATAAGCACATCATGTGATTTTATAAAGGCTGAATTCGCTAAAACTTTGAAAATCCGATCTGTTTTGTTTCACATTAAACCATTGCCATTGGTTTAATGTGAAAAGTTGTCAATAAATTGGAATATTAAATATGCTATAAGTGGACCAAAATCATATAGGATTAGTCAAAAACACGTGATGGGCTCTTGTATCTAAGGGGTTGTTTGGTTTAAATTTTGTTTTTATTTTTTATTTTAATTACAAAACATTTTCAGCATTTCGGATATAAATCTTTAAAAATAAGAAACAGAATAAAAATAAAGTGATAATCATGTAATTAAAATTAAAAATAGAAAACGCTTTTTAAAAACCACATAACTTTTTTTTTTCTTCTAAAAAACCCAACAACCGCTACACTTTTCTTCTGTTTCTCTGTTTTATGGTCATTTTTAATGTCGTGTGTTTTTGGGTCATGGGAATAATAGCCAGAAGGACCAAGGAGGGCCCAATGACCCAAAGCCAAAATGGGCCTAAACCATGAGGACGATTCCACAAACACCCGCCACAGGGCATAAATTGTTCTACTACTATTATTTTTGTCTATGCCACCATTGTTTCCGAGGTCCCTTATCCTCGAGGAATGGGCAGAAAAAGTTAAGAGCTAAGAAGATTGCAATATGGTAGGAGCTATTTCAACAACACACCCAGCAAGCATCGTTTTAGTATCTTGGACATCAACCCAAAAATGTGGTATACGACCTTCCTACACGAGCAACTCCAATTTATTCAAATTTTCCCCTAATGCCAGAAAATCTATTAATACTTTGAACCTATCATCAGGCAACGGGTTATGCAATAAAGTAAGAAAACCAAAGGCAGTATCAATGTCCCTCGGAAACGGAAATAGAAATAATAAGATTAAGAATAAAGCAGTTGAAAGGCTCTATCTGGGGTTGGACTTTGGCACATCTGGTGCCAGGTTTGCCATTATTGACGAAGGTGGCACAATTCAAGCTGAGGCAAAGAAAGAGTATCCGCTCTACCCGGTATCATTTTAATCACATGCTATTTTCCTTATGTTTTATTAACTTTAATTCTCAGGACTAAATTTAAGTATCTAAAATAACATATTTATTATATTAAAAATATAAATTTATAATAAATATTTTTATTATTAAATTATCAAACTTTGTTCTGTGTTTGTCTTGTCTAGAAAGAGTGGAGAGTCATATGACTGGGTACGGTCATGGAAGGAGACACTGTCTTCGCTGCTTGAAGATGTCCCACTTGAACTTCGCAGACACATTGCCTCCATTTCTATTGATGGGACTTCTGCAACAACTATCATTGTTGATAGGTGGATGATCAACAATTTTATAATATTTTTGTTAATTAAGATAAATTATGACGTAGGAATGTGAATTTGGGATTGCAGTGACACTGGAGAACCGTTGTGGAGACCTTTTCTTTACAATGAAAGTTGTCCTGATGCACTACCAATGGTAAAATCTATTGCTCCTCCTAACCATACAGTTTGCACTGGCTCGTCCACTCTGTGTAAGCTTGTCTCATGGTGGAATCACGTTGGTTCAGACAAAAAATCTGCTCTTTTGTTGCACCAAGCGGATTGGCTTCTGTGGCTTCTTCACGGAAAGCTTGGAGTTACAGATTATAATAATGCTCTCAAGGCATTATTTAATAACCTCTATCATCTTTTTTTAATTTCTTCACATCAAGGATTTATGTCCAAGTTGGAAAATTTAACCATTGTTTTATGTTTTGCAGGTTGGCTATGATCCTGAAGTGGACTCATATCCTTCATGGCTAGTCTCTCAACCATATTATCATCTTTTACCTTCAGTAGTTGCTCCGGGAACTCCAATTGCTTGTTTAAAGGAAGAAATTAGAAATCAATTTGGTATGTTTTGTTTACATTGATTTCAATTGTAATGAGAATTCCTTCCTAGGTAATATATTCTATTTAAGGAAGCCTTATGAAAAATCAAATTAAACTATTTAAGGAAGCCTTATTTATCTGATTGCAATTGCTGTGCTATGTATCTATAAGAATTTATTTGATTTGCTAATTAAACCTTTACTGCTATGAAGTTGAAAATCAGATGGATAGTTCTTATTCTTTCAGGTTTTCAAAAGGATTGTGTTGTATGCGCTGGAACCACTGACAGTATAGCTGCATTTCTTGCAGCTCGTGCTACTCAACCTGGGAAAGCGGTAATTTTTTTTAAAAAAAAAAGAAAAAGCTTATCATATTTATTTATGATGGATTATCTGCAGACATTTTAGAAAGAAAACTTAAGTTCGTGGATTGTTTATTAAAATAGAAGTTTCATATTTTTTTCAGATTTTATATTCTGTTTTGAATAAAAAACGAATACAGCTTCAAGAACGGAAAATTTGTTGTTCCATTATGATTTTGCATTGAAGTTTTTCTGCTAAACTAGCTCTTTCAAAATTTGAAGATCACGTTTCTTATCTATGCAAATAAGCCACATTAGCTTTTTTATGTCTGATGTAGCCCTTCTTGGTTAGGTTACTTCATTGGGTTCAACCCTTGCTATCAAACTTCTCAGCAACACAAGAATTGAGGATTCTCGGTTTGGGGTGTATAGTCATCGCCTTGATGATAAATGGCTTGTTGGTGGTGCTTCAAACACTGGTGGAGCTGTTCTTAGACAGCTGTTCACTGATGATCAATTAGACAAACTGAGTGAACAAATCAATCCCTCACAAATTTCTCTTCTGGATTACTATCCTCTGCCAAAAGCTGGTGAAAGATTCCCAGTAGCGGATCCAAATTTAGCTCCAAGGTAAATCTCTTCTGCTTTGCGCTGGAACACTTATTTTTGGAATTCATTTCCCATTTCAATTTAGCTTGTTGAATCTTCTGTAAAGTGATTCAATTTCTTTAAGTAAGTGTTTTCAAATAAATTTGAAATTCTGTCAAATTGGGTATGCTCTCAGACCTGGGAAATCATTTTGTTTGATTGTTTCTAAAAGATTAATTTCTCTCTGCCAATTCAGTAAATTTACAAATTATCCCGTGAGGGGTCAACAATACTCAATAGCTAGTGATTAACCTACTTTTATCATTTTCAATAAGAAATGCTTAGTAATCAAAATTTCCATTACGTGTAAGTTCATTTCTCAGTAGGCACTGCTTAAATAGTTAAGGGTGCTATATCTTCGTAGGTGCTAATACTTAGTTTCACATTAACGCGTTTTAATTGGCATAGCGTGTTGGTAATTCTTAATTTTAGAGGAATAGTCGTTCTTTTTTATCTCCTTTAGGCAATTACAAAAGAAAAAAATATTATTTTGTCAAAATAAGTGAATTCAAGGCAGACTTTTGGATGACTGAACCAATTTGCGGAAAGGAGAAACGATGTCTCTAGTTCAATATGAAGAAACAGCTTTGATGGTTTCTTGAATGATTGTTTCATTTTGGATCATGTAACAAATCCAAATTTGGTTCTGCTAGCTGTGCCACCACAATCAAGGCAAAGTCCAGGTGCACATGTCACCACCGACCGATACTTCCAATTTTCTTAACTGAGTTTGATTTTTGGGCAGGCTACTTCCACGTCCAGAAAATGATGTTGAGTATTTGCATGGGATTTTAGAATCCATTGCGCGTATAGAGGTAAAAACCTTCTTGACTCATTTTAGACTTCTTTTTTAGTAAACAAGTGGGTCTGCATTTATGCACTGTAACCTAATGCGAAGCACTCCTGAATGATATTTTAGGCAAAGGCATATGGGTTGCTAAAGGAGCTAGGAGCAACCGAAGTAGACGAAGTTTTCACATCCGGGGGAGGAGCCAAAAATGAGAAGTGGATAAAGATAAGAGAGAGGGTGCTTGGTTTACCAGTGTGTCGTGCAAATCAAACAGAAGCTGCCTACGGAGCTGCATTATTGGCTATAAGGGGTGATAAAAAAAATACATTGTGAAAATATTGCACCATCACATGTTTGGTCAAGTTGACTTGGAGATCGTCTCAACTTCTCAGTGTTGCATTTGAAAGAGTGATTTAATTTGTCATTCAAGAAGTTCCTGAAAAAAATGTAACTTATCGTGGAGAATGATGGAAGAAAATTTCAACAAGGTGTTACATTCTGGAGTTGGGAGTCCAAGTCATATGAACATGTTAATTGATGTTTTAAATGGCTAAATTGATGTTGGATTGATTGTTGCACCAAAAGTAAACACTTCCATCATTTCGGTAACGGAGTTAGATCTTTAAAATGGCTAAATTGATGGTTCCGGAGCATTCAACTTCTAATTTAGGATTTCATATTAAAGGACGCTTCACTTCTAAAAATAAACGTTAAGGACTGCTTTGGAGAGTTTACAAACAGTGCATAGAAGAAGTTTTTTAATATAACTTATCAAATAAATTTTTAGCTTATTTTAATAATAATTTTATTGTTAAATTTATAACATAAAATTATTTTTTAATATGATTTTTATTAAAAGAGAAAAACACAGTAAATCTATGTTGAGAATAATTCTGTTTAGAGACGAATACTAACTGCAGTTGTTGGAAGTTTGTTGTTTTAGTTTGTTTCTTGTAACATGTTTGAGTTTGGTTAATGTGGGATGCACGTAGTATATATATAAAATATTATTATGAAATAATAAAATGCGAGGTATAATATTAGTCTATTTCTTCTCTCTTTGAAAATTCCCTTATTGTATGTGTAATCATTGTTTAAGTGTGTACGAAAGATCTTGAGTTATGATATTAAAGGCAATCTTTTGTCTAAGTCACTAACTCAAATATGTAACGAAGAAAATTAGTGGTAGATTCAAGTGAAAGAATTATGATATCTTATAGTCTTTTTGACGATAAAAATGTTAGAAGACGTGTTATATTGAATATAATTAAAAATAATACAAATGTTAAAAAAATATTGGTAGACACGGAAATGACTCTAATCCTCTTGTATTATTGTAAATATCATTAAAAGGTATTTGTATGAGTGTGATTGAAAAGGAAGATATACCTAATTAATAAAGAAACTTATATGAGAGAAAGTACTGAAATCAAGATAAGTGAAAAAATTTCTCTTAATGAATAAAAATAGAGAAGTTTAAAAAATAAATATGCATAAAAGACCTACAAATTTTTGTTTCAAGTTTTGAGTTATATTAAGTACTAAAATCTGTTTATATAATTTGTTTGTAATCCAATAACAACATATTTTTTTAGTGTTTAAAATTTCCTTATTTGCTTCCAACAATTTATTTATAAAAGAAAAAAATTGATAAGTAATTATTATTAAGTTAATTTAAAATACATAATATTATTAATTCATAAAATGTTTATTTTTATTTTTCATTTTTGCAAGCAAAATCACTTTAAAAGAAAATACAAAACTGCGGTGGAAATTGTCAAAGTAGAGTGGGCTATATATGAGGGGTGGTATGACCAGGCGTGTTTGGTTTGATATGGAAAGTACTGCTGCAACTTATGCCGATTAGACGTTCCGCCGTGCATTCCAGAGGGCGGTCGTCTGGGATTTCACTCTTCTTTTTCAATATTCATTAATTTATTACTCTTAATTTTCTGCCATCCAGGGTACCATGACTTCATGTTTCCTTTATTTTCTAGACAAAATTAGTGATAGACTTTGTGGTTTATTATTATTATTATTGAGTTAATTTAAAAATAAATTATTTAAATAGAGTAATTATAAATCACATTATTTATTTAGTGTGATTTTTTATAAGTGACTTTTTTACAATAATATTATTAAAAAATAAAAAATTATAAAAATAAACTTAACAAAGATTTATATACTAGAATGAACCTAATTGCTATAGCACAAAAATGTCAGAATTAGTTTTTTTTTTATATTTTTATATAATAAAATAAATATTATTAATTAAAATATATTTATATTTTATTAAAATAAATATTTATAATATGTTATTCTAATAAATATTTTGTTAATTATATATAATAAAATAAGTTATTATTTGAATTATATTTATATTTTTATATTATTTGAAAATAAATAAAAATAATAAATAATATTTATTTTACATATTTATGATAATAAATAATATTTTAAAAAAAAATTAATTATATTTTTAAAAATTAAATAAAATAATTAAATAATAAGTAAATTATTTTAGATAATTTCTAAAAATTAATTAAAATATTTAAATAATAAGTATAGTATTTTATATAGTAATGTTAATGATTAAATTATTTATATTTAAAGAATAATAATTATATTTTTAAAAATTAAATAAATACATTAAATATTATTCAGTTTATTTATTTATTTAAATATATAATTTTGAGTTAATACTTTTAAATATTAATGTGATAAAATGATATTTTGAATAAAAAATTTATTTTAATTAAATTAGTTTTTTTTAAAATTATATTATTTAATATTATAATTTTTAATACTCTAAACCTTAAAATTTTATTATTATAATTTTTAATAAAATTTATTTTAGAATAAAAATTTATTTTTAAAAAAGTAAATAAAATATTAAATTATAAGTTAATTATTTATACTTGAGACAAATATTTTAAAATTATCGTTTTCATATTACTAAGGTAACATTAATGAATACAAAGTGCATTAATAAAAATGATAACAAATTTATAATAATATTAATGATTAACTATCTTTGTAATGGTGGCCAATCCCACAACGAGGGCGACGTCTATAACGTGGTGAGTTTCATCGTTGTGGTTGTTGCTCTAGGATTTCAAGATAAAGTTGTGTAGGATTTGGATCATCATGAAGGTCTAGTTGTTGGAATGTATTTGATGAATTATTAGGTTCATTAGCAAAATTCAGTTGGTAACGAAACTGCATGTAAGTTTGTGATGAAGATGGAGTTGTAAAATCAACTCCAAATAAGTTTGTAAAAAAATCTTCCGATGTTGTTGCAAACGAATGTCTTGTGTTAATTATGTTTACTTCTGGTGTAATGTTCAAAGGAATTAATGCAGTCTCGTGGTACGACGGTATGGAAGTCGTATCGATTTCAAATGTGTTGGTAGTCCTTTGTTATTGATCACTCTTCCTTGTATCTTGTAGTAGTGGTGACACAGATAGAAAATAGATGGAATTGACAATGTACCATTCTATGTATTTTTGTGTGTGACACAATGGGTCTTGCATTAGATAACCCGTAATTGTCAGCTCACGTCTGTTATTCCATATCTCAATCCATTGAGCATGTCTTGTAACCCAATTTTCATCTTGTCTTCCTCTCATGTCAATTTTGTGGAGGTCATTCAAATTATTCGGTGGAGAAGGGACTTCTTGGAATAGACAAAACTATAATTTGACTCTATTTGTTTGGTGTCATTCAAAAATTGCAAAATAAAGGATGACAATACATGAAGTCCACAGTTAGATATCTCTATATACTTCCATGGGTATTGATATTTGCAAGTCTTGATATGACGCCCATAAAAACTACAAATAAATTTAACTTTGTTACTTAAGATGATGTGTAAAAGATAGAAAATAAATATGAATTCAAATTTTTGTTATGAAGAGTTACTTAATTAACTTGAACGTCATCAAACATTGATTTGTAACCCACAATATCATTGTGAGGTTTATTTTGAAAGTTTAGTACTCTACCCTCGCTCCATCTGCACACGAGAATGTATGTTGGTGAATTACTAGAAATTGGGCAATATATGGCATGTGATACCATGCCCAGGACATTAACAGTGATGAGTAACCATCCATTCTTTTGCTACCAACTTCTGTGGCTCTGAACATTTCCCTGTACAACATAACTAAACAAGCAGAACTCTAACTATATCATCTTGTTTTTTTAAGATTAGTTAATAAAGCTAAATACATAAGATGTACTTTGTTGCCTGTTTTATCAGGCATCAAAACATCTCTAATTAAACCTAGTATATAAGCCATACAATAGGCGTCAACTTCTTCTTCAATTAGTTCTTCTAGTAACGGCAACATGTTATCTCTTAGCCACTTTAGTTTTAGCATAGAGCCAATGATCAATTGAAATTTTTACAATCTTATTTCCTCTCATTCCTAATTAATTAATCATCTTTTGTGCCTAATTAGTTTGAATTGAATCATTTTATGATATTTGAATTTTATTTGGGCTTTATTTAATTTTTCCAGCATTAGGCAAATTCTGATACTGTTTTGGTTTCTAGGCCATATCTTGAGTTGTAGAGCTCAGTTCATTATGATTCTTAATTTGTAGGAAAGCTAAGAGAAAGGTACACAATTTCTATGAGAGGTCAGAAACTAATTCTGATGATAAGAAGCTGAAACTGGGCCTGGAAAAAGTCAAAACGCTGCACTCGCAGTTTCTGACCTTGGTGTAGTATTTGGGCCATATCTCAGTCCACAGATATCCGTTTAAGCCCATTCCAGTTGCGTTTTGAAGCTAACATTCAGGGCTACAATTTATCTTCATATCAGAAATTAAATCGGATAGATCTTTAAGGCCAAAAATACTACACAATATCTTATCGGATTCAGCATGGATGTTGGGCAGCAATTACAAGCATAACTTTCCCTCCAAAATTCAAACTTGAACAAATAATGATTCTAGAGACAGCTATTGAGTAGAGGATTAATGTAATTGAATAATTATTAATTAGTTTTTATATTTTGACCCTTAAGAGCATGTATTTAAATTAGGGCAGCAGGCTGTAAAATGGTTGGTTGGGACGTTAGGTTAGATTAGGTTTATGTTTTAGGGTTTTTGTTTTCTTCTTCTTTTTCTCTTCCGTCTTTACCTTTTGTTTTTCTCCATTAATGGAGGCTTAGACTTTCATCTAGTCCAAGGATTGAAAAAGGGCTGAGACACTCTTCAGGATCAGTTTCGCAATTCATTCAACAACAAATTCAGTTTCATCTCTTCCTTCTTTCTCCTTTTGCTGATTATGATTTCGAATAAAAGTTCTTTATTTGGATTGATAATTGTGCAGTTGTTTGATTACATATTATTCGATTGATGTATGTAATTAATTCTTGAAGGAGTTTGAATTAGATTTTCAGATTTGAGATATAAGATCAATGGCATTAGTGAATTAAATTTACACCAATCGATTAGGTTCTAGAGGTTTCTGAACCTTGAGTAAATTGTGTGTTAATCGAATGTATGAGGGTTCTCATGTG